ATCTCACAGCCTTCTCCGATGCAGACTGGGCTGGCTGTCTATTTGATCGCCGTTCTACTAGTGGTTACAATGTCTTTCTCGGATTCAATCTTATCAGTTTGAGTGCCAAGAAACAGGCTACTGTGGCACGGTCATCCACAGAGGCGGAATACAGATCTCTAGCCCACACTGCAGCTGAACTGACTTGGATCTGTAAAAATTTTCGTGACCTTGGTTTTCCTCTCTCTCAGGCTCCCACTCTCTGGTGTGATAACATTTCAGCCATCTCTCTTGCTTCTAATCCGGTCTTTCATGCCCGAACTAAACACGTGGAGATTGACTATCATTATATTCGCGAGTTGGTCTTAGCTAATCTCATCAAGGTTCACTTTGTTTGTAGTCAGGATCAGCTCACTGACATACACACCAAGTCTCTGTCCAAAGGTCGATTTGCTGCTCTAAAATCCAAGCTTCCTCTTGGTTCTTCAATTGATCCCAAGCTCAGCTTGAGGGGGTGTATTGAGAGACCTAAACCAGTCACAATTTAGTTACAACAGTAAATAGTTAGTTGTGGTATTTGTGTAATTAGTTGTAGAAGATAAGGTCACTTATGTAAAGAGTCTTTGTGACTATATATATCTCTGTGTACTGTCAATTAAAATATGAATGAGAAATATCTTCTTTAACATTTTCTACAGTTGTAGAGTATTTTTTTTTTCTTTTATTTTATTTATTATAATTTAAAACAATTTTAATCTCATACCAAATAAGTTTTTGGATATTAAAGAAAATTGTTTTTAAAATATGTTCTTAAGAAATGTTTTGCAAAAACAGACCTTAAACTACTTATGATTGGATCGGTTTTTATGCATATATAATTTTTAAATGATGAAATTAAACGATCTCGATTGTAATTAACTTAATTACATTTAAATGGACAAAAGGATCGATAGTTCTATAAAGTAAATATATAAGTATTATTCATATAATTATGGGTAGTACTCCTTGCACACTCATTTTAACTTTCACGCACCCTTGTTAAATTTTGTTTATTGATCTTCTTCAATTCATTCGATCCGACAGTAAAAAATTAAGAGGAGTGCGTGAGAAAAAATTGAGTGGTGTTATCAATTATAATCAGAACAGGGTATCCATAACGTATCTTGATGCAGAATTGAGGATTGAAGAATCCATGGACAAAAGTTAAGTTGATGAGAGAATTTAAAGTCAGACTCTCTTCACTCACATAATTTGTGATCAGACTAATCAGATTGATGCAAACGATCGAACAGGAAATGTGCATTTACATGCATGAACCAATCTAGGTCTAGCTAGTCGCATTTCGAAAATAACCCTAATCATATTATTAGATGGCGGAAAAAGGAATTGATTGGATGGACGGAAAAAGAGCTAAGAGATACATAACTACTACGCAATCAGACTAGCTAGTTAATTAGTTTTTTGGTTCATCAATCAATTAATATTAAATTCAGATCAATTAATCATTGGTCAAGCTAGTTAGTAGTATTAAGTTGACTCCAAATATATGTATATACACATGCATTTGAGACACATTTTTATGGGGTCCATTTTTTAAAGTATTTCAACGATCCAACCGGATTTATTTTACATGTCGCACCTCAAATATCGTGTCCACAAAAAATCAAAAAAATCCAAAATCGTATGACTGTCAGAATAAATTTAGCGTTATTCATAGAACTATATTCGTCAATTTTTTTTTTTATCATAAATGAATGTCTTAATGGTTTTGTATTTGTCTAATTTGTTGAAAGGATGATCTTATGTACTAAAATATACATGGTTCGAGTAGTTGAAATATAGGGGTGTGATATCCACACACCCCTTTTTACTTCTCTCATACCCTTTTTATTTTCGGCCTTCGGATCAGATAAATTGAAGAAGATCAAATGACATAAATTAATAAGGAGTGTGTGGATAGCACACTCCGAAATATATTACGAAGTGAAAAATACAAAAAAATAATCAAAATATAAGTCAAAATTGTGTATCTTCAAATCCATATATATATTATATATAGTGTACCCAATCGCTTGCCTTTTGGAGCTGAATTAGAATAAGAGTGTAAATTCGTCTACACGCGACCGTCCAACCCCATTACTATTCCTTCTTGTATCTATATTGCTTCTGTCACAAAAGGATTGGGTAATTGGCTTTTATCTTGGTGACAAACTAATGGGTTACCAAATATGTAGGGGACGGTTGAATTTCTTCTTATCTTTTAGTGTATGTATCTAATGTATTCATTTTTATTATTATTTTTTAACTATTTTTAACTTTAAATTTTCTTGTTTTGGACTTCCATTTAAATAATAAGTTTCATAAACAAGTCTATTGTTATACGTATTTCTTTAAAGTGGAATTGATTTTTTGTTTTTTGTTTTTTCATTCACTTGGATTATTTTTAATTCATTGATTTTGTTTGTATCCTTATTTTCTTCCGAAAGAAAGGAACTAGGGGTATCATAGTCGTCCGAAGTCAGTACTTGTCCATCACCTGAAGGTGAAGCTGTACGACTCTGGGTTACGCCTGAGAAAAAACATATACATATTACATAACACACCAACACGATCAAACAATGAACCATAAGAATAAAAAGAGAAAGTCCAGAATGTTTTTGAAGCTTACCTAAGTTAACATCGGCGAGAGATCACCAGAGATGATGAACAGTGACCATTGTGCAGAGATAGGAGAGAGGGGGAGCCTGGGTCTGGTTTGGGTCATGATGGGGTTGTCCAGATGGTAGTGGGGTCGTGGGAGTGTGAGCCACGGTGGTGGTGAAGGTGGTGTTGTCGTCGTGTTGTTGTGTGTGTGCATGAGTATGTGTAGGGGCTCGGGAATGAGAAGAAAGTGCTGAGAGAAAGAGCTGAGAGAATTCTAAAGAGAGTCCATAGGGAGAGAATAGAGAGAAGAGAGGGAAAATAAAGAGAGAGTTCTAGAGAGAGAGAAGGAGAACTCGGGGTCAAAAGTGGAAATATCTCCACTTGAGAAAATTACCAAAATGCCCTTATCATTCTGAGTTTTGTAAAATCTCTGTTCTAACTCCAAATTCAATTCCATTTGCGCCCACGCGTTCGCAACGATGAGTACTACAAGGATATGCCAAAGTTGGTGAATCCAATGCCACTTTAGAAAAAGAAGTCATAGATTCAGCCTTAACGGCAGTAACCAGTCAAACCCAACTCAGAGAAGGTGGGCATCAAAGCAAAAGCAATCAAGTGAGTTGTGGCAAAAGAGAGAGGCACATGGGAAACAAAAACAAAAGTGCAGAGGAAAGGCAAAAGCAATCAAGTGAGTTGCGGGAAACAAAAGCAAAAGTAAGGAATAAACACCCACATTGCAAAAGTAAGGAATAAACACCCCACCAGAATGATGTAATTTATTTTTATTATCTTTCGGAGACATCTGTATAAACCCCATCAGAGGGTAAAAAAAAAAAAAAAAGGCAAAGCCCAAAATAAATGGGCTGGAATGTTGTGTAGAGGTCGAATACCCATAAACCCAAAATAACTCCAACTAGGCGATCAAAGTTACGCCCAGTACTCCATAATTATTCGACAACCTACCGCTATTACCACCAACCAGGTGATCAAAAGTACGCCCAGTACTCCAAAATTATTCGGCAACCTGCCGCTATTACCACCAACCAGGTGATGAAATGTACAACCCATACTCTAAAATCATTTGGCAACTAGCCATTCATGCCACCAACCAGGCGATCAAAAGTACGTCCAGTACTCCAAATTATACATGAGCACTACTCATGTCATTCATACATAAACATTCATGAGCATCACTCATAACAATCATACATAAACATTCATGACCATCATTCATGTCAACATTCATGAGCATCACTCATGTTAAACATTCATGAGCATCACTCATGACAACATCCATGAGCACCACTCATGTCAATCAACATAAACATTCATGAGCATCACTCATGTCAATCAGCTGCAAAAGCTTCATTTACAAAAGATCCAGCTTCGAAAGCTTCATTTACAAAGCTCTAGCTTCAAAGCTTCACTTGCAAAGTTTCACCTACAAAGCTTCAATGCAGGGTATACAAATACATATAATTTCTAAATTCTGACACAAGGTACCACATACTGCTTGACGTAAAACAAATAGTGTTTCTATATTCTGTGGAATCTTTTTCATGGCTCGATAGATAATAGGACAAGCCAATAAATTTTTTTCGTGTTTCAGAATACAGTTTACCAATGTGTTAACTAATCGACTACGATAAATTGGGTTAGTTCAATCTACTACCAAAGAATTCGTCGAATGGGTGGAACAAGCTTCCCTTTCAAAGTAACAAGAAAGAGCTTTATATGTTTATAGAAAGACAGATAGCAGATTAAGCTTCAACGGTACTTGATGAATCCACCAGTACTAGTCTCACCAATGTCGATAAGACCCCTACTGATTTCACTCATAAATTTATTCTCTTCCAAATGAGTTTTAGTCTCAAAGAATGCTAGTTCTTATGGTTCATATGTTATGTTATGAATATATCACACTAAGTTGTTATGTATGGATAATGAGATTTCATTCATACAATGTTAATTTCAATAGACATATTGGAGAGTCCCATTGGCATGCATTTAAATTCTGAAAAGTCCATTAGTGATAGATCATATTAACCATGAATTGATTAATTATCATAACACATATGGATTAATTAAGTTAGGGTTAATTTCAGTTTACTACCCTAAAATTTCTTGGTTTTCAACATTTGGTATATAAAATTTTTTTCATCCCAGAGTGATACATAAAGTCATAATTTTGGGACACTTTCATACATCCGTTAAGATTGCTGTTAAATTTGCCATTAACTGATGATGTGGCATCCACGTGGACAATGATTAGATGCCACGTGAATATTAAAAAATAAAATAAAATAAAATTTTAAAAAAAAAAAATTGGGCGTCTTCTCCCTCACCCCTTCCAACCCCTCTCCTTTCTCTCCTCTGCACCCACCCTTCCCCCTCACTCTTTGACTCCACCCACTCAATTTCTCTCTCTCCCTCTCTCCCTCACACATCTCTCATCCCCATCACAACAATACCCAATCAAATTCGCAAGCCGCCGATGCCGCAGCTTCCCCACGCCCCAAGCTTCCTCCTGCAAAACCAAAATCCACAAATCATTCAGACCCAATTCGTAAAATGATCGAAAACCCACCAATGTTAATTTCATTCATACAATGTTAATTCCAAAAGCCAAGCTCACCGCAAACTGCTTGGGATCAGGCCACGCCATCTTAGTGAACTTCTTAACGGCGATCCAACAACGGTTCTGTAGCCAGCCCTTGTAAACAAGATTAGGGGCCTTCTCGCCGCTCTCCGAAACTATGTAGTCAGAGCTGAAGTTATTGGTGGCGGCTTTGAGGTCAGCAAAGGAGAACTCGGAGAAGGGTAGGGCTCCGCCAATTTCCAGGTCGGATCCAGATGTGGGATTTGTGTGGTGGGTTGGGGTCCAGCTGTTGTGAGCTAGATGCTGGGTTTGGATTTTCTCTGGTTGTTGGTTCTCTGAAACTTTGGATTCACAGCAACCCATGACTTAGTTTTCTGTGGGGGTTTGGAAATTTAGTGAGTTTTTGAGCTTCTTGGAGTCGGAAAGATGGAAGCTTTTTAGAAGACAACCAGGAGCTGGTTCCTTGCTGCCTCTGCTTTGAGTGCCTAGTGGGTTAAAAGAAGAGAGAGAGGAGAGAGAGAGGTTCATAGCAGTTTAATGTTAGAGGTTATGCTAATTAAAGCACTTTCTAGTTGCTACAGTTTAATGTTAGAGGAGAGAGAGAGAGAGAGAGAGAGAGAGAGAGAGAGAGATGGAGTGGGTGGAGTCGAAGAGGGAGGGGAAGAGTGGGTGCAGATGAGAGAAGAAAGGGGGTCGGAAGGGGTGAGGGAGAAGACCCCCAAATTTTTTTTAAAATTTTTTTTTAGTTTTTATTATTTTTTATTATTTTAATATTTATGTGGCATCCAGTCATTGTCCACACGGATGTCATGTTATAGTTAATGGTAAATTTAACAGCAACCTTAACGGATGTATGAAAGTGTTCCAAAATTATCACTTTATGTATCTCTATGGATGAAAAAAAAATTCATATACTAAATGTTGAAAACCAAAAAATTTTAGAGTAGTAAACTGAGATTAACCCATTAAATTAATTCATGTATATATATGGATATATATAAGTTCTTTAAGCAAAGGGATCTGCATTTTTTTTAAATAAGGATTAGTGGTGGGACTTGCTCCATATCGAATTTCAACAATCTGAACTGTTTATTTTGTAAGTCCCGATCTATAGATTATCATTGCACAAATTTAATTCAATCTGAAACTATTTGCCCACTTAATTATTGCAATAAAATTTTAATGTTTCTTATAACATAATATTCATTAATTTCTTTGAACTCAATTAGATGCCTCAAATATTTCCGATTTGGCTAATATTTTGCAAGTATGATATGTAAGGTGCAATTTAAAAAATAGATAGTTCGAATCGTTGAAGTTTGATATGATGTGCGCCCCACAACTAATCCCTATTTTTTTGGAAAAAAATAATGGAAGAGTCCCTTCCATTAAAGACTCTCTTGGTATATATATTTTTTGTTCCATTGTAATGGCTTTCAACCTCAATGTCAGTTAGCATTTTGTCTGTTGAACCAATTGAACAAGGCAACAAAATCTTGATTGGATGACAGGTTCATTGAAAGAAAATAAAGCACTTGAATTAACGATGGGTGTTTTCTGCATAACATATAACAATTTAACCTCAGAATTCAATATTATTATTATTTTTCTAATAAAGTTCTTTGGACAAATTGTACCTCAAACACTTTATCATCATAATTTCAAAGAGGCACTAGAAAGTAGAAAGCAATAATTTGCAAAAGAATCAAATATAATATACATGAAGCTTATTAAGCGGTATTTTATGTTCGTGGAGCAATAGATGATTGACATTTGACAACATATTGATAATGTGCTGTACTGGTGTGAGAATATTTATAATATCGACGCACATAAATGCTTTTCATATCAACATCAATTGACATGATATACCAATAATATAAATGACATATTAACGACATATCATGTATTATGTTCTATCATGTTGACAGTAATTAGCAATGACAACTTAGCTAGCAGTTAGTTAGGCTATTGACAGTTAGTTTGTTATGTTGGTTAGAATTGTTATAAGCAAGCTACTGCAAGCTATATAATATGTGCTTGCTTCATTGTAATTACTAAGTCTGAAATCAATACAAAAGTCTCTCTCTCAAGGATTCATTCTCTCTCTCTCTCTCTAGAGTTCTTCTGTTTTTCATTCGATTACATTCATACAATCATACATCCATATTTTCATATTTCTGTATATGTTAATAGGTTATGATAGACTTAGTATTGGTTTGGTATTGAGGTGATCTTATAAAAAGTGCGTATAAAAAAAAGCTGAGCTCAAAAAGGTATTTGGTAACCCTGGTTTGGTACTAAGAGGCTTCGGAAAAAATGGGTATAAAAAAAAGCTAGGAGGTTTTTTATGTTTGGTAAACATTAAACTTCAGCTTTTTTTCACGGTTTGAGTGAAAAAAAGCTAAAAACACAAAGATACACAACCCAGCTTTGAAAAATCGACTTTTTTTGCTTGTCCAGCTTTTGCGCAAACCGATTTCGCAAGAGGCGCTAAGGCCTTTAATGAAAATTTTCAATACCCAAAATGGCCTTTAGCAATTAAATAAATTATACATTATACCCGTCGACTTCGTTGCCGATCCCACCACGTCTCTCTTTTGTCCTCTCTGTCATAATAAAAGAAAAGATAAAAAAATTATTATATAATATTCAACATCATATCTTTTTTAGTCATTTTACATAATCGCAGCGATTTTACATAAAAATTTATCAAACACTTTAGCACAACTTTTTTTTTTTTGCTAAAATCACTTTTACAAAAATTTTTACCAAACACTCTACTGCTTTATTTCACAGCTGTTTAATCTCGCTGCAAAGCAGAAGCAATTTTTTTTTCAAAACACAGCAATACCAAATCATCTAGTAAACACTTAAAAATAGCTTATTTTCACAATTTTTGATGAAAAAAAAAAGCTGAAAACGTGAAACAGCAAAAATAAGTTTATTCTTACAGTACAACAAAAGTAGTTTTTTTTTCAAAGCACAACAATATCAAACTAGTAACCTCATATAGCTGATTTTGTGACCACATATCCTGTAGCCGATGCTATGAAGCAGGATCTCCTCTAAAAGGTTGATTACACGTGTGTGTGGGTGTGTGTAGCAGGTATCACACTCTACTGTTCACGGAGCAAAATAGTGTCATCATATTGACTGTTTCATGACCACATATTCATCAGGTAGCTGGTGATTGTTTAGAGTTCGATGTATTTGCCTCATTTTGGCTTCATTTTATAAGGAGTTGGATCCCCTCCTGAGCAAATGATGGGGATTCTCATGACCACACAACACGGAATGTTAGATCAACAAGGACCGTTGGATTTTGATCTAACGGTTACAAACAGAGAATCTCTCTAAAAGTTATAATAATTGTAGCTTTCGGATCAAAATCCAACAACCAGTGTTGTGTGGTCATGAAGATCTCTACCATTTGCTCGTGCAATTCCATTTTATAAGAGTGTTATACAGTTAAACGCGGTCACGTAACAATCAATACACTGGACATTGGTCGGTTGTGTATATAAATATATATATTACATTGACCTATATATGGACAATGCAAGTGTACAAATGAGCAGTTCATTACCATTATTTCAAAGGAAAAACTAAATCCTTTTAAGTGAATAAAACAGAAGTTCGAAAGCAACAGTTTCAACTTTCCACTAACTAGAACGTCGAACCGCTTAACAACTCTTTCGACACTTGTGCTTCCCAAAACGAATATTTCCATGGTCCCCTGCTTGTATTGCCATGCTCTCCTTCAATTATTAACACCATAATTACATTAGAAAATTATTAATCCTCTATTTCTCTCACTCGAGTAATTATGTAATCATATAATTGTCAGTGTGTCCTCCATTTGAAAGCGTGGTTAATCATTGTTCTTTAAGTAATCATACACTAAATGACCCACAGTTTAGGAAAAGGACTCTTCGGATTCATTTTGTGGGGATCATAGTGATCCCACATCCTAGCCGTTCATGGTATATTGTGTAGCCAGTTTTCGTCAGATATTATTTGTGTTTAATTTTAAATAAAAAAAAGTCAAATGATTTTTTACCGCACGATACATAATGAATGACTAAAATGTGGGGATCCAAGACCCAAGACAAGGAGAAATTTTTGTTCGTGACCAAAACACGGGTGGTACACCACGTGTTTTTATATAAGTAGTGGGAATTTATATTTTTTAAGTTATTAACTTTTTAACACACATATCCTACCATTTGTTCTTGTGTTCCAGTCATACTAAAAAATCTATCCAAGACAATAATCCGAAAATTATAATAATAATTTCTTTGATCTCAAGGACATAAATCATTCTTCACCACCTTGACAAATAACATGAAAGTTACAACTCACAACTCTCGGGTGAGCTAGGAATTCTGGTTGAAACGTGGAAAACCCCATCCTGCTTAAATTCTTCATCACGCAAGTTTTCAAGCAACATATGAACTAGGAGAAAGAAGCATTTAACAAAATTACATGATATTGGATCAGACAATTTCTTACACGACCCGTTAACTCGACTCGAAACGACACCAAAATAATGAATTTTGGATCAACCTCATTTTCATAACGGCAGATAATCTTTAAAATGCCCAACAAGGAAACAATGTCACAAGATGTTTCAAGTTTCAACACAATATGCTGAGTTTTTATTTAGCCACAATAGATTTTTGGGTTTTTCCATCTTCTGCTTCCACAAAAATGGTCACTCGTATCGATCGATCCATTTTCGTTTTCGTCCCATAACTTATCAATCTTTATCTCCCACTGCTGCACTACCTAGCTGCTTCATATTCTATGATTCAACCAGTCAATGATATCCTTCGTAATGGCTTCTCGCTCTGGCTCAAAGAGAAGGTCATGTACGAACCCGTCAAACAGTTTGATGGTTTTGTCAGTTGAGGAGGCTTCATCGTACAGTTTCTGGGAGGCCTCGGGGTCAGTAACTGTGTCTGCTGTTCCGTGGAGAACGAAGAAGGGTACCATCAATTTGGTTAGGTTCTGCTGCAAGTAGGATGTGATTCGGAGAATCTCATATCCAGTCCTTACGCGGATGGATCCAGTGTACACTAGAGGGTCCGAATACTTGGCAACTAAAGCCTCTGGATCACGAGAAACCGGCATGCCCTGTTTATTTGCTGCACTGAGTTGGTATCTTGGCAGCAAAAATGAGACAATGGGAGCAATTACCTGGCATGATAAAAGGAGGAAAGCGCGGTGAGGGTTTAGGGTTTAGGGTGCATTTGAAAACTCGTAATTAATTGAGTATATATATTCAAGAGTGCATAAACATTAGTTGTAACAACAGATGGTTTTCTGACCACTAATATTGGATGCGAAGGCTGAACCCCAACTGCAGGTGATGTGAGCACTACACCGTCTATGCGGGACTCAAATTTTGGGTCAAGCATTACCTAAAATCATTTTTGCAATATGGAGTAAGCTCAGATCGAATTCCAGGCCGATGAAGTTAATGAATAGGTAGAATCACAGAAGACAACAAAATTGTAACTACGAAAAAAGTCATTCATGCAATTCCAAGAAAGAAATGGCTTCCGGCAACCCATACCTTAAGGACAATGGCTGCACCTGTGGAATGCCCA